GAATTTTTGTTTTTAATTCTACATTACCCGAGAGGTGTTGGTCTATTAAAATAGACTACGACGTACCATATAAATATTTTTTGTTAACATAACCATTTAAGATTTTTAACATTGTCTTGTAGCTTTTAGTTTGTTTAATGCTACTTCCTTTTTGATCGTGTATTTTGCCGTATGATAGCCCTAATGAACTATCATGTATTGACGGGCCGTTAAGAATGTGATAATGATAATAATAAAAGTTACAAAAATATATAGCAAGGGGGTAAATTCTAATGAGAAAGCACACAGCCCTTTGAGTACAAAGTCTTTTGACAGTTAATCAAAATCTCATCAGCTGGGCTTTTTCACGCGCTAATCAGAACCAATTAAAGGCAGATTCTGCATAGGTTTGTAACTATGTATTAAACGCGGGTCATTTCACCCCAGAGGAGGCTAAACAACAGTCTAGGAAATGAAAACACTCTGGTTCAGTAATGTCGTGGAGCATCTAAAAAAGTCATGCAACTTTGTTTCAACCAACATTAATGTTTAAATTATACATAATGTTGTACCAACGTTATGTGTGTCCACTAGATGGTTTCAACCAACGTTTTATCACTTTGTCTTCAAACTTTGCCTTTGACGTCTCTTAGCGACGATTTCTACTAATGCTAGATGTGGTATTTGGTCATTGTTCTTGTACGCAAAGTCCCACAGATTGGCAAAATATTTCTCGACCAATATCTCCCTTTCTGACGTTGATCTTTCGCTTGACAATCCTCTATATATGGAATTATACAGCCATGGTTTGATCCCAGCTACGATGCGGTCTGCATACAGCTTCTTAGTGGCTTCATCTATGTTCAAATTCAGGAAATAAAGGGTCAAAGACCTTGAAGAATGCATGTAATGGACAATATTATAGTAAAATAATCGAGCAACTACTTTCATAGATATTTTAGGTAAAGCTTTACCAACTGAAATATTCAAGCATTTTGTACCATGGTTATCGAATCGTACAACTACAGCAATGCGTGCATATATTGACTTTCATTCTGATAGTTATCACCTTTGTTGGATACATAGAATGTAGGATGCTTCAACTGATGAACGAAAGATCGTATTGATACTAGTTCCAAACCGGTCTCTTCCAAGTCTTTATCATTTTCTTTGAAAGGCGCAATGTGTTCAGTTTCTGTCCGCTCAACCAGGGAACAGGAACTACAATCCAGAAACTCGTTCTGTTGATGGTAAGCAAACAATATATTTATATTTAAAGAAACTATTGAAGATTTAAGAAAGTGATATTGAGAGTAAACTGTGTATGCATAAATTATTTAACCATGAAAATAAACGCTGTTGAATAAAATTAAGGAATTAGATTGTTGCGTAACGTAAATACTCTTACATGATATATTTGCAAATAAAACATTTCACCATTGTGATAAGACCATCTGCCAGCATCGTTTTCAATATTTGATCCAGCGTTGCCTTCCCACCATGGATGTTTACCGTAGTCTCTCCGTATTTCGTAGTTCCAATGTTGAGCACCACCAAATAACCGCCTCCAATAACAAATAAGTTGAACAACGTGAATAGCACTGTGTTTATATAAGGTATATTTTACCGGTATATAAGGTATTTTCACGAGATTACATGCATTTTACCAAGCATCTTTCTATATAAAATAAAATAATCACCGGAAGTCAGAGGAAAAACTCCACACTTCTATACATTTTCTATATATATACCTGGACGAAGTTCCCTTCCACGCATGACCAAGAACGTTTTCCAGTCTAGCGCTGCTAGGGTTTTTAAGGCTTTAACTTCATTCTCGTTTGATTGGTCTGGAGACTGGTTAATATTGGGTCGACGCAGTCTGCAACAGAATGAGTTCTGAATCACTTTTTACTCAACATTGAAAAACAATGGAAGAATTATCGATGACAATATGTTTCTAGTTATGATTGAATCGTTGCATACTTAACAACACAAATACAGTGATAACATATTAGAGTATTAGATTACAGTTGTCAGATATGTCGATCACATGACTTGAGTAAATTTAAATTACAACAGTTGTCTTTATCTTTATGAAATTTACGAGCTGTTGATTGTATTACCTTTTAGACAAATTCATCGCAGCAACAGATGAAAAGATTAAGTCAGTGGATTGATCTGGCAAGCACTGCTTAAACATCGAACGTCCAATAGCAGCGGAGAACACATCGGGGCCACGGCGAAGGCCTTCTTCATGTTATTGTAAAACAAAAACCATATGATATAGAGGGAGCTACAATGTTGTGTTAAGATAAGGAAATATGTAGTTTGAACGTTCTTTCCAGTTTAAGAAAATGACAAATTTACCTTGTATGATACTGAACATTCTGTTGAAGTCGTTATCTGGCAGATCTGTGTAGTGTATCATGATCTGTTTATGGTATTTTCGGACCTTTTCTGAAATATCAATATCAACCAAATATTGTATCGACATTAATTTGACTTTTCGCCATATAACCCCCCCCCCCCCCCCCCAAAAAAAAAAAAAAAAAAAAGGATCGCTTTGAAGGTTCAGCGGCTGCAGCGAGAAATATATCATACCTCTTATCACAACTAACATGTGTATATGGAACTGACTTACCAATGATTTCATTACAAAGCACCAAAGATGTGGATCCATCAGCTGTGCCGATGTCAGCGACTGTTATCAGAGGACGTAAGGTGTTAGAACACCGAAGCATTTTATCTGAAAATAAAAAATGCGCTGCTCTAATCAAGGAATATTTCAAAAGAGACAAATTAATAACACCATAGAACACATTAATGATAAGCTATAATGCAAAGAAATAATTTATTACACGGTTTCAAATAATGAAATACATTGTGCTATACAGCTAGAATTCAAAAGTGTTGAAGACAACGAAGCTTATGCAATTGATATTGGTAAACAATACATCTTGTAAATACTATAACGATAGTATGTATGATATAAAGTCTTGTCATTGCTGAGCTTTTTAATATAATTTTTTTTTTATTGAACAAGCAGCTGAAAATTGCAGAGCATAGCATTTTACCTCTATGACATGTATGCGAGGGAAAATGATTACTTGCTTCCTAAATTCAAAACTAGTATTAGAACTGCCAAATGTGATATGCATGCCTAATAAAACAAGAACTTATCGTAATGAGTACTATAAAAGAAAATCCCCAAAATCGAAAATGAAACAGCAAAATAATGCTGCACAATCAAGTCATGTGACGTTTCGTTAAATTAATTTCAATGATTTTTAGAAACGTTTCTGAAATATTGCCAGCGTAAAAAGTAGAACAGATCAATAACAATGATAAGTGAAAACTGACCAAACAGTAATATGTCGCCACTTGGGTTTATAAATAATATTGCTATCTTGTCCAATTATAATAGCAATTAAGGACTCTTTATGATTAAATAATATGTTAGCTGGGGTTGGCTTTTCCTCCGTAGCACCAAGACTGAAATTCACTTCAATAATTTTAGCAGAAAAACAGGTGAATATGAATGACAAAAAGTATTCTACCTAGACAGTCCATGATAACGTCCCGGCTTTGGTAAAGAGCATGTCCATTTGTTGCAAGCATTCCACCATGTTCCAATGCCAATTTGTCAAACACCACAGAATTCGAGTTTTCCATTGTCTCCATTTGATTCACTGTTTCCTTTATCTAAAACGGAATCATGAGTATTACAACAACATATCGTTTTCTTTAGTGATTCTGAATATATTAAGTATATGATTATATCTTTACATACAATCGTGTTCTAACTCGTGTTTTTATTATTACTAAGGCTTTTCACTAACTTATTTTTTTATTCAGATTCCTAAGTTATTAAGGCTTTTGCCATCTGATGAAAAGATTAACTACCATGCTTCTTTCTTATATTATGACCGGTGTATTATCGACTGTATATATTGTAGGTACGTATCTGAAGGTGCAAATGCTACTTTTTTATGTACGGCAAAAATCCAATATGGTTGTTATGATTATTGTGATCATAAAAATGTCCTTGACGTACTTTCAAAGTAATTTATTTTGTCAAAATACAGAAGAAGCATTTCTTAATAACAAGCAGGCTCATGTTGATGACATTAATTGCAAATGAAGGTAGTCAAGCTGATAATCAATGGTGCTCCACTTATTTTTGTTTATGTTAGTAATAATGTATAAAATAATCCAATGGAATTGTAGAGGCCGTCGATCCAATATTGATGGAATTCTTCAATTGTCTCAAAAACATAACTTTAGTGTGATCCACCTTTAAGAATCACCCACCAGAGCAAAACAATCAATAATTAAAAAACAATACCCATTGTTTAATTGCTTCAGTCCTGTTAGCAACAAAGCAACCAAGTTCCTCACAGAAACACACCATTAAATACAGACAGTTACACTCAATAGAACACTTACACTATACTCTATCTCCCTCCAAACTCTGATTTTACGCACACTTAACTAGACGAATTATATTGCAACTGCCTCTCCCATTCATCATTTTTGTGACTTTAATGGTCAATACAAGCTATGAGTTTCACCCGACACTAATGACAGATGGACACAATTTGCAAATCTTATATTGGAAAATAACCATTATTATTGTGTCACCCATCGTGGTTCACGATTTCGAATGGACGGTGCATAACGATCTCTGTCAATGCGACCACTTCACAACATTGCTAAGGAAGTGTGATCATGTACCCCAATGGAAATTATATAAAGCAGACAGGAGTAAATTCGACCATCTCGGTACCAAAATTCTAAGCGCCATTGATTTTCCGAATTTAGAGGACCCGGTAAAAGCACTTACTGCCGAAACATGAATACCAAAATCTAAAAGAAAACACAACAAAAAACCTTGGATTAAAGAAGATGGTGATAAAGCTATAAGAAAAAGGAAAATCGCATTTAGGCAATTCAAAACCAATATCACAAGCGATGGCTTGAACAACTATAAAATTATTAGTGGAAATGCTTACACAAATAATTGTTTTGCAGATAGTTTGGGTCGAAATTAAATTCCAATACATTCATCAAAAAAGGTATGGGATATGATTAAACGATTCAGTGAGAAAACATCATTCAATACAATGGGACATCTGTAAACAAATGGACAATTATCCACATCGTAATTTGAAATGGCAAATGTTTTAGGATCTGCTTTTTCCACAAATTATCTGCAAATAATAATTAAAAAAATAAAATAATAGCACTCGAGAAAAAAGCAAAGTTAAAATTATCTTCCGATTCCGAAAACAATAAAACGTACAACGCACCTTTCTCAATATTTCAACTTCGGAGAAATCTTGAAAAAATCGCATGACACTGCAACGGGACCTGATGCTATCCACAATCAGTTCCTATTTTTAGATCGGGTAACGACCGAAAATCTCGGAAAAAGGGCAACTGTGATTCCTATTCTTAAACAGGGTAAAGGTACGACAGATCCACCCAGTTACCGCCTAATATGACTTCCGAATTGCGTCTGGAAAAATCTAGAGCAGATGTTGAATTCGAGATTATCTTGGTATCTGGAATCCAATCACATATCACCCCTACAAATCGGTTTTAGATTTAATCTAGTTACAACGATAACTTAGTTAGACTTGAAACCTTTTTTGCGCAAGGCTTTCATGGATCACTTAATTGTGATTTTCTTCGATTTGGAAAATGCTTACGACTCAACGTGGAAATACGGCATCATGAAAGATCTGTATGATATATATATTAGAGGTAATATAACAAATCTTATTTCAAATGTTTGGACTGAAAAGTAAAAGAATTGTCAAAACATTATTTCCATAAATACAGGGTGTTCTTTACATTGATGTTTGAATCGACTTCACATTTGAGCAGATGAAAACGGATTTGAATTTCCACAATCAAATACAGTTTGTATGCATTTTTGTCAAATGCGCAGACAAATTTATTCTCCATTCTGCAACTAAAGGTTAGACAATGTATAAATTAACTGGTACAGATAGCCTCTCGCAACGCTAGAGTAGATCGTAAGTGAAACACTTTTGAAATATAAATTATCTGAGTTATCAGTAGTTGATTTTCCAGCTTTTTTCTAGAAATAAGCTAAGAACTGTATGAATTTCCACGTTGTAGTACGGAATCGTTAGACGCAACTTGAAAGTAGCCACGAAAAGACTCGTCGAAAATGCACTTAGTGGATTCAGAGTAAAAAAAAAATAAAATATGAAAGTAGCGCATCTGCAAAAAGACACGTTTGTGGCAATGGGCATTTGTGCCGATTCCATTATAACCAAACCAAATTCAATGTCCAAGATTTGTTGTAAGAGGTAACAGACTAAAAAGTATGATGTGTCTTCTTTTTTTCGTAATACATAATTTCATTTCTGTTTGGTCCACGTATTGACATGATAATTTAAAATTGATGACGTATACTTTTGACTGTATTTTAATAATTACAATTTATTTTCTTTATCTAGAGAATAAAGCATACTTATTAACTGAAAAGGTTGTCCAATGTACGCCATGTTTGTGTTATTTCTTGTATTTTATTAAAACAAAACTGTCAATAAGCAATTATCTCGATTTCTTTATATCGTGTCATGAATGGAAAGATGCCTCTTATTGGAGGCACAGTTGAATTACATCTTCACATATATATAGTCTTATTATTAAACGGCAACAATTTATTATTAAACTATTTTGATTATTATTTTTACAACCAAAAATGCGTCTATTGGACAAACAGTGTATTTAGTATTGCATTCTTATAGAGTAAAATTGAGAACTCTCTCCAAATGGCGTTTTCATGAATACAACCCCAAAATATATGATGAATATCTTTGTCCTCAAAATCACAAAAACTGCATCTTTTACTATCTTTGATACCGACTTTATAAATGAATGTATTTGTACATAATATTTTATGATTGATTTTGAATTGACAATTCTGCAAAACTACATCATTTGTACATGTTCTGAATAAATTCTATTCTAGTCAATCTCTAAGTTTTGAATATCATGTTACCACATTTCCATTGCTTTTTACATTTTAAGAAATTATTTTGGTACAAAACTTTGAATACAAAAAATGTTGGTTTGATTGTACTTGTAATAAGCCTGATATTTTCCGTTTCTCTAACAGCATTACCGCCATAATTACGACCTAGTCTTTTCCATGTACCTGGGATGGCTGAACTCAAACCATAAAACTGAATTCTTCATACATGTGGAATATCAAAATGTTCCCTAAACTGCTGAAAAGTTAGTACTTTACCCTCATTATCGAAAAAATCTTAAATATTATTGATACCCTTATCTTGCCACAGCTGGTTATATACTAATTCATTTCCTATTTTAATGTTACTATTGAACCAAACTGGTTGCGAAAGGTAATATTCTGCAGTATTTACATATCTCCAGAACAAGTTGAGATTTCTTACTATTTTTTATCATGTCATACCTGTTATATGCAAGAGTGTTAAAGTTGCAATATCTTTCTAGATCCCGGGAGATATTTTTCGGGAATCGAGTAATTCCTTTACCCATGTTAGTTTCGAAGAATTTATAAAACAGTCAATATATATCATTTTCAATCCCATCATTTTCATAATAGTTTTTAATGTAGAACGCTTAATGCGATCTCTATATGATGTGGTGGATTTGGTAACACGATAAACACTTGCAATAAAATAGCTAATACAAGTGATTTGATCAGATATTGCGAGATTTCTTAGGGGCCGATTTTTTAAAATACCCTCAATTTCTTTTATTTTTTCTTCGTAATTAACAAAAGTTGTGTCTGTTTTACTAAGATAATACTTAACACCAAGAAGTTTAAAGTTGCCTGTATATAAACACTTTAGTGCTATTCACGTTGTTAAAAGTAACTCTTGTATATTAGAATGTTCATTTTCTTCTAAAATACCAACTGTTTCTAGATTTTCAAACGCCAAGAGATCACTCTGTAATTGTAATATTTCTTATCAAATTTGCCGATTCTTTCTTTTCTCCTTCTTTTCCAACTAGCATATGAAATGTTTTATTTGCAAATATATAGCTAATTTTATCATTTCCCATAAAAGTTGATCATTCACTGAAAATTTTATTCAACAGCGTTTATTTTCATGGTTAAATAATTTATTCATACACAGCATAATTGGTAAAAAATAGTAACAGCTTTAACAATATCTTATACGTTCTATCAAATAATAATATATTGTTAAACTTACCATCAACAGAACGAGTTCATGATTATGTAGCTTTAACTTAATAATGAGCGGTGCAGAAATTTGTAACACATTGCGCCTTTCAAAGAAAATGATAAAGACTTGGAAGAGACCGGTTTGGAACAAAATAATCAATACGCTATCTTTTTCATCAGGCCCAAACCAGCTAAACCTTTTATGTATCCAACAAAGGTGATAACTATCAGAATGAAAGTCAATATATGCACGCATTGCTGTAGTTGTACGATTCGATAACCATGGTACAAAATGCTTGATATTTCAGTTGGTAAAGCTTTACCTAAAATATCTATGAAAGTAGTTGAAATCTCGATTATTTTACTATAATATTGTCCATTACATGCATTCTTCAAGGTCTTTGACCCTTTATTTCCTGAATTTGAAAATAGATGAAGCCACTAAGAAGCTGTATGCAGACCGCAT